ATATCGAGGGGTAACGGGCTATTTGGTTTAAGCGACATTTTGGGCGATATTGAGTTATATATATATTCGGAATCAGCGAATTTTTCTCCGTCGATTGATGCCGGTTTCATTAAAATCGGAGCACTTTTTTGGCGTTTCAAACAATTCTATTTTCGTGTTGTTTCCAAAGTGACAGTGTATTAAACGACATGGATTTCGCATTTTTTATTAAATTATGTACTTGAACCATACCATCATATTAATAACCGAGACATAAACCAGTCACCCTATCTCTAATTAATAAGTCAAAATGAGTTAAAGCGTTTTTCCTGTTTCTAATTTTTACTAGCAAGTAACTTGAATCATTTTGACTTCCCACTAATCACACGGTGTGTTGTCGCTTAAAACATTTATCCGTCACCCAAATACGACATGGTTCGTCTCTTAAACACTTCTAGCTGCTTTTATTTTCCACGCAGGGTGCTACTTAAACCAAATAGTCGTTTTCGTTCAGATATTTTGTTTAGTCATAAATCATTTAGCCCTCCTTTTTTTTAAAATGCATGTCGTTTTATACAGATGATAACATTAATAATGGATATTGAAACATTTTGCCAGTATTCATAAAAATATGAATCGGTCTTTAAATCACTAAATTTTAATATGGTACATTTCAATCATGTCATATGATACTATATTTATTTCATCGCCCGGGTGTTAAAAATCGTGATCATCCAACTGGACTATCGTGCGCTGGCGCTTCAGTCACTCCAGAATGCGTCGAAGACAGACGGGACGCGCACTCACCGCCAGTGTTTACGTAAAACGCTCATCGAAATTGAATCCTAAGTACTTTAATTTCAAGATCAACCTCGCGGTCGTCCGAAGACTTTGGTGACAATAGGCTATTGTGGAAGCTGATGACATACAATCTACGGCTGATTTAGCAACAGCTTTCGACGTTAGCATCAAAACAATATTGGTCCATTTACGTCAAATTGGCAAGGTAAAAAAACTTGACAAGTGGGTGTCCCACAAACTCAATGATCGCCAGAGCTAAGTATGCATCGAGCAGTGCCTTGCACTGCTCAACATAGTTGTAGTAGTAGTTAGTTCAGCACCTAAACAATACCCGAAACGAAAACTTACTCCTAGAAAAGTGATGGTCACTGATGGTCTAGCGCCAGTCTGATTCATCACAGGTTCTTACCAAACGGAGTGAGCATTACTGCGGATGTGTAATGTGAAGAACTGAACACAATGATGGAGAAGCTGACACATCTCCAACCAGCACTGGTCAATCGCTCATCTCCATTGCTCCTGCATTACAACGCGCGACCTAAAGCTGCACAACAGATGGTCTCCAAGTTACAAGAACTGGGGTTGGAAGCTCTCCAATATCCACCCTACTCACCAGACTACTTCTTTTCCAGAATTTGAATAACTTCTTCGCGGGAAAAAAATTCATTACCCGAGAGGCAGTACAAAATGCATTTAAAGAATTTGTTGCCACCCGTCCAGCTGATTTGTTTAAGAAGTATTTTGTGGCAGTTTATTGATGCCCAATAAACTGCCACTGCGTTGGCAACGATGCATTGATTACATGGGTGATTACTTCGATAAATACAAATAAAAAATACATGAAAAAAATCGTTTAAATTTTTTCATACAAAACGGCAATTTCAGTAAATAACCCATTAATTTATCTGATTTTGCTGAATAAATAATAATATAATCGTTGTTCCTATGCAGACTGTTATTATTAATCTAAATAAATACTTTGATATTGTGTTGTGTTTATTTATCCGATGTAAGCACCTGAGATTTTCGGTTGTTTCGATATATCCAGGTTGTTTTATCAGCCATTAATCGTCTTAGATGTAAATAAACATAAACATTTAACGATACAATTTCAATGTTATATGTCACATAAGTAAATTAGCCTGTTACTCATTTTAGTCTAAATTGGTAGTTGAGATAAATAGCTTGCTTCTATTTATTTTGGGTTTCGTTACTTCATACTTTTTGGCTTACTCTGTAAATAGAGTGCATCGTCGCTTAATTTTTTTCCCTTGTAGCCAATTGTAGTTATGAAGTCACTTAAATCATTTTTCCTGACTCTAAAAAATGGCAGATTGTATTAAGCGACATTTATCTTTGTAATTAAAGGTCCGCTTTATTTGGAATTAGCATCAGCAACTAGATATTTTTATTTAAATTTCAATGCAATTTACCCCGTTCAAATATCTGCAGAAGCGTTTTTGTTATGAATTTTTTTTCGAAATTTCAAACTTTAAAAGGCTCTCCTGTAAAGTTGCAAAAATGTCGCTTAAACCAAATAGCCCGTTACCCCTCGATATGTATAATTGATGTAAAATTGCTAAAACATATCTGTACCGGCAGGCGTGGAGACAGTGTCGGGGCGCGCCGTGGTGACGCTGGCGGGCGGCGGCGCGGGCGGCGAGGCGGAGCTGGAGCTGACGTACAACGGCGCGCTGGTGGCGGGCGCGCCCCGCCGCGCGCTGCTGGCGCCCGCCGCCAGCGCAGACCGCGTCACGCTGGCGGGCCGGGGGCTGGCCAGCGCCGCGCCGCATACTCCCGCCGTCTTCACCATCGGTGTGTCATCTGTCTTCTTGTTACACCTAGAATGTTGAATAGAAGCATTAATGAGACATTTGATACAAGTTTATTTTGCCACATTATCATAATCATTACTGAAATTCTTTTTGCATGCTTCGTTCATCACTTAGTGTAGTGTTTGCTCCCCTTTAACTGGCGACTGTATAAGCCCTATCCTTATTATCCATTTTTTCTTAATACTGAATGTACAGAAGCTGTTGGTATACCTATAATAATAAACAAGTTATCCGTCAAGTATAAACACGTCCATTGTTGAACACAGGCGTAGTTATGCTCATTGTTATTGAATCGATATTTTTTATACATACATCGATGTTTGATACTTTGAGCTACTAACATTAATGGCACTTTATTAAGATATGCCACCACACCGCCTGCCAGGAAATCAGACGGTCATGCAACGTTTCGTCTTTTCATTATATTTGTATGGTTAACAGTGTAAAATGCAACAAGAAATTTGACATACATATATGGTCTTGCTTCTTAACTAGCTAAAACCTAACTTAAGCATCAAATGAGACTGAAACACAGATAATAAATGTAGGAACATTAAGCTTAAGCTACGTTTAAAGGTGAAATGTTTGATTTATTAACCAGTATATGTGTTGCAGACGGCAGTGCAGCAGGGCCGGGTGCTCCGGAAGCGTCCCTGGCGGCCCCGGACGGCGACAACGTCCCGGTGGCGCTGGCGGCGGCCGGCCCCGGCCTGTGGCGGGCCACGTACACGCCGCGCCGCCCCGGGGAACATCAGCTCCGGGTGCTGTGGGCGGGACGACTTGTTAAAGGTACGCAGCAAATCAAGCTAACGATTAAACGTCAAATCTTAAAGGATATAAACGAACATATTACGTCGTGTGGCAGGTTGTCCCCTGACGGTGTCGGTCGCGGCGGGAGCGGTGGGCGACGCGTCGCGAGTAGTATGTTCGGGCGCGGGGCTGGCGGGCGGCGTGCTGGGCCGCGACATACGCGCCTGGCTCGACACGCGCCGCGCCGGGCCCGGGGAACTCACCGCGCACTGCACCGGACCCAACAAGGTACCATACATGAATTACTTATTATTTGTCTTACTATAAAAAACCCATCATACTGACTAAACTAGTAATCCTTAATCATGGCACAACCTGAGCTAAGGTGAGACAAAGCAGGCCGACACGAATGCGGGAGCTACGGAAATGTGTTCCTTGCAATGTCAATAAAACTGACAGTTTTGACTTCCAGAGACTATGAGATATTAAGTGAAAAGAAAACCATTTTAAGATAACATCAGTAGTGAAAGAATAGTCTCAAAGCATAACAGTATTTACAAGTGATGCAAATAAACACTCAATAGTCACCTAATAACATCTCTGTTTAGGTGGCGTACTGCGAGCTGTACGAGCACGGCGACGGCACGTTCACGTTGAACGTGAAGCCGGCGGAGGCAGGCAGACACATGCTCAGCATACAGTTCGCGGGGGAACACGTGCCCGGCTCGCCATTCGTACTCAAAGTCGCCGGCGCCCCCGACCCATCCAAGGTACATACATACATTCATTTTCTATTGTAAAATAATATAGATTATACTTTGAATTAAAACGTTACATAGAGAAAATACAATTTTACGATTTGAATCGCAATGCAATTCAAGACATCATGAACAATCTTAACAGGTTTTTCTGTATAAAATTCCTGGATTGGAATAAAAATTTGTATTTACTTAGCACTCTTAGCATAACTAGCATGAAGAACTATCACGAATCTATCTATAGATGCTCATGATTTTCTTTAATCTGAGCTCTAGCTCAGATTTAAAAAAAATCATGAGCCTTCATATCTCCAATATAAATATCACATTGCTTTGTAGCATTATTCGCCATTAACCCGTCGGGTGTCTAAACGTGGATCCATGCGAGACACGATGTATTTTCTATTGTGTCTCATATACAGGCACTCAAACGGTTAATAGTAAAATGAAACAGTAAGCCAATAATATAAATACGTGGTCAGGTCCGTGTGTACGGGCCGGGCGTGGAGCCGGGCGTGCTGGCGACGTTCCAGTCGCGGTTCCTGTGCGACACGCGCGGCGCCGGCGCCGGCCAGCTCACCGTGCGCGTGCGCGGGCCCAAGGGCGCCTTCCGCGTCGAGATGCAGCGGGAGAGCCAGAAGGACCGCACCATACTCTGCAAAGTTAGTATACCCTTTATAATTATTAAACTCAACACTGGGAACGTACTTGTAACTTCTCCGATGTTGGGTGTCCATGGGCGGCGCCGATTACTTACCATCATATGATCTACCATCGTTAAGCGATCTATTACATAAAAAATAAATAAATATGTGTGGATATAATTCTGCTCTACACTTTTCTTGTTATCCTCACGTCCAAGTGAAGCCCCTTGACTTCTAAATCATTACAAAATAATGCGTAATTACCTAAAATCCAACGACAACTTGTTTACAAAATAACTATCCCACTAAACACATGTTTGAAAAGAGATTAGTGATTACAATAATCATTGCTTGCGTACAAAATGTAGAGATATAGATCTGTAAGTCGGACAAAGAGTTGTACGTATATACTTATCTATGGTCACTATATGCGTAGTATTTGTACGTGTGACGTAAAATGATACAAGCGTATCGTTGTCAGGCAGTCATCATGCAGATGTCTGCACTGCTGACAAAAAATATATCAAATCATTCAATCATTCAATAAAATTATAATATATATAACTATAATTATAACTGCAGTCAGACTTACTTATTCGCATCATAAAAGAACACATATATACGGTCGAATTGAGAACCACCTCCTTTTGTGAAGTCAGTTAAAAATTGTCTCTTTGCATGACTAGTACCTTTACAATAATAAAATAAGAGAAAGTGTACATAACATTAAGCTTATTATTGCGCAAATCGACAGGGAGGGCCAATGAAAATACAACATTAAAAAGTCAACTAAACCAAGTCAAATGGTTTTATAAACGAGGATCATAAACGAAAAACTTTAAGAACCTACTTTTTTATACTGGCAATGGAAAATTTCGTTGCGTTTCCCTCACACCCTGTATAAGGTAGTACCGTAATAATGCATATTTTTACTCGCAGTTCTCTCCCACCGAGCCCGGCGACTACCGCGTGGAAGTCCGATGGGCTGGCCGGCACGTGCCCGGCTCCCCGTTCCCCGTCATGATCTTTGACACGCAAGAGGAACTACGTCGCTACATGCAAGCTTCAGCCGCTTGACCTTACTAACAATCTACAAACAGAATCTCTGTATACTCAAGAGAAAAAATATAGTCGAATAACTACTATTTATTTTTCAAAAGTCAATAATAGTTATTTCCGAGTTTTATTTACTTCTCCGAGTTCAAAAGTCGTCAAAAATATTCCACGCAGCACTCATACGATCATGGGTATATTCTGTAAAAAAAGAAAATACTTCATAATTGGATCTAGTGTTGTCAGTATGTATGTATAAATAGTTTGATATATTGTAATCTTATTATAATCGGAGTCGTACTTACGATTACATCTGAGCGAACAAATATTATTATAGTACGTACGAATGTAGAGGTTTTATTTATTTTATCGTCAATGTATAATCCGTCCATTTTTGTAAGGTAGTGTAAGCATTTCCTGCAGTGGTACGAATATCAATAGAAACGACGCCATTATCCGAATATATTTAAATTATAAATTAATTAATATAAATTAATAGGTCTAATCGAATCTCTGTATTGTTTATAAGTACATACATTCTAATGCAAAATTCTAAATGTAATTTAAGAGATAATGCATAATAATTTGTTTGTTAATATTTATTAATAACGACACTTAGTTTTACATCATTTAACTTAACTATTGTAACTAACGAGGTACTTGTTTATTTGTTATTACGGGGCCAACTTCTAACAACCATACCGATGTGAATTTGGCCCCGTAAGCTGCTGAATTATTCAGTTACTAATTGTTAATAAATTGAACTTTATAAAGAAAACAATGATTTTTTAATTACATCATAATCCTTTTCTATAATTCCATGCGTCAATGTTAGTCAATTCCCATTTCTATAACATGCAATCATGAATAACAATATTGTGGAAATATCAACCTTAACTTTACATACCTAAAATATGAAATCATACATAGTAGTCATTCTTACATCTATCTACATTATACTTCGGTGGAATAATAGTAACGCAGTATTTTTCGACAAATGTTCGTATTAATCGTTATAATTTTATTAGTGGCCCTCTAATTAGATTTGTGACGACCTTGCGAATATCCCTAAGTGCATTGACTTCAGAGATTTCGGTTCTTCACGATCGGAACAGACAATAATATCGAAACTATCAAGGTACAGAGAATAATATGCATGTGGCGTAATTACATCTTAACAAAAATTTATATCAAACGATTCTAACCCATATTGCAAAACAACTTCACAAATGAGTTCTAGACGTCAAGTAATGAAAACCAAAGTCATACTGTTCATATTCCCTTGTACCCTTCTTTGTAAATATCAAAGGTTTGCTACTCTAAGATCACAGTGCACGAGGTTGGTATCTGAAAGACACGGTGTTCCTAGGCGGGAACATGATGTTACTGGACCGCATGTTGCCTGAGAGTTGCGTGCGCAACGCGTCCAAGCTCTGCCATAGTTGCTGCATCTGTCCATAGATTATCACCTCCAGACGTTGAATCGAGTTGTGGAGTTCTCCTGCAAGAGATTATGATGTTGAAAGTGGGTCTCATGTATCTAATTTTCTTACCAGCTAGATTTCATAGGGCTCTTTTTTTATTTGAGTACCTATCTGTTTAAAGAATCTTAAAAGTTATCATTATTTTAAGTGATCCGTTCCAGAACTGAGTGCGCGTAACAACAAACACATTCAGTACACCATCAATCAATCGATCAATCATGCTTGTAAAGAAATTAAGAATAACTGTATAAGTACCTATAGTAGGTATTTAATAAAGATCTATCACTGAAGTCAATTCGCAAAAATATGATCATAAAATTGTTCTAAAATGAAATAATCACTAGGTTCTGTCAATTAGAAAATTTGAGGCATACCGTTCATACATAGTTGGTATGAACCTACCTATGTCTATGTAGTTCGTAATTTTATCTATAAAGGTGCTGTTGACCTCGTCTGTCCAGTAAAGAGATCGTATGAAATGGCCAACTAGCACATGGGGTGATCATGTGTTCGTCTGTCAATTTAAATTATAGTCCAAATCTTCGATGAATGGCTTGCTTTGTATTTGTACTTCGGAGAAAAATAAATATAGACCGTTATATTATTTTGAAGGATATGAAGTAGGAGTTCGTGTATGACTGATTATTTTAAAATTAGCATGTTTATGTACCTACTTGGAAGTTTGAAGGTAAGTACCTATCGTACCTACATATTAATTTCTATACCATCATAAATGGGCACCAACTCGATCTAAAGACGAGCAAGATATTCAGTTAGAAACGAATTATCCCGTTACTCTAATCATTAAAAAAATAACCAACATTTTAAATCTACCCGATAATACGTATCAACGGAACTGAATATCATGCCAGTCTGCGTAGAAGTAACATAAATAGAATAGGTACCTATTATTTATTCTTGCATAACATCACGCTTTAATTTGCCCTAAAAGAGCCAGAGAGGCGGACACGTTCTAAAATCTCTTTTCTTTTAAAAACCGTAGCCGGTAGCCCTATTTCCCACAGGCAGCGGCGTGATTGCGTTTACAAACACAAAATTTCACATGACCCGGGAAATGCGCTATTTTGCAAGGAAAACTGCCACGTGGAGGACTATAGAGAAAGCCTTTGTACTGCAGTAGACATACCGGCTGATGATGATGATTCAAATCGCTAGCTTTAATCAAAAATCCACAATTAGTTTCAAGTCGAACTGGGTTAAACATGCGCATAACGAATGCGTGGTCGATAAAACTCACTATTTAAGGAAGTGGAGCCCACTCAACGTCAGCAGACATCACGACATGCCTATAAGATGGCAGGGCAGAACTTAATACAATTTTGGCAGAAAGTTTTACGCCGAGAGGAGTAGAATAGAACGATGGTAGGAAGGAATTTGCCCTGCAGTGGGACAATCATCACAAATACTAGTGTAGTTAATATCAAATATGAGTACTCACGAGAAGTAACGACTCCATGCAGCCTCCTAGTGATGGTAGCATTGGCAGTGGCGTTGACTTCCTGCGTCCTCACGGAACACATGGCGCGCGCCTCCTCCCGCGGTCCGCTGCCATGGTACGTCGAGTTGCGGACCTCTATGTACGGCTTGTGTGGACCTTCGGGTCCATTCGATATCGTATAACTTGGACCTCGTGCTGTAGACAACGAAAATAAATTATATTAAAGCCTTTCAGAAAAAAATTGAAATCCACGTCTATAATTTTTTTTTGTCATTGATGAAATCGATAATTGTAAAATGCTAACTAAGCTACCTTAGTATGATGAGATTTAACAAATTAAACGTTACTACATCGCCCTAGCATTGGTAAGACTATAATTTGGCATTAAGCGTCCGATTTTATACAGGGACTTATATACTTACATGATGTAGATAAAAAAAGTCGAAATTCTAAGAAGCCTACGCCTACTATAATCATAAATTGATACACCCATCAATGTAAATAAACCTTATATATAAGTATTAGTAAGGAATTAAACACTAAAAAACCATTACACTCTCAAAAAATATTTTTTATACATTTTCATGTTTAGGATCCTACATATAGGTACCTATAGGCTATACTTAACCCCTAGATGATCTGTTTTTATAATATAGTAATAGGTATGTTGTACTAAATGAAACATTACAATAAATTGTTCCAAATGAAGTCTAAAATAAAGTAAGATAAAAAATTGGGTCAATCACTTAACAGGCATCAGTAAATTGGTCCTGAATTCGACGTGGATAAGACTACAAGAGTAATAGACACCGCCACCTATTCGTTCCGCACTTGAACGTGATACGAAGAAGTCACGAACACAATAATTTTACGATTGTTAAATATCCATTCATCATTATTTCGGATTCTTGAACTCGAGTGGACAATAAGATCGCTAGACACTAGTTAAGACGACTGCATCAAAGTTGATGGAGTCGAAACAAAATATCTGATTCTTGAACTAAAAAATAAAATGTCTGATTTTTGAACTAAAAATTATGAGAAATTATAATTAGGTACTACAGAGTATACCTACAGGGTGGAATTTTGTAATGCCATCTAAAGGAGAAGTAAGTACTCTTAATACTTTAGATAGAAAATTTTACTCAAAGAAAACATTTCTTTATTTTTGAAAATAAAGAAAACTGCATTCAAATCGCTTTACGCACGCGGTAGGTAATCGAACCGAGTAAAATGTTTAAAAATTGCACCCTGTACTTTTATTGCATCGATCGTTAGGGTCAATAAGGATGAAATTCTCTAGCAAACTTCATAAATTGACAGAACATAACATCACGCCTTTTATTCCCGAAGGGGTAGGCAGAGGTGTACATTACGGCAGGTAATGGCCACTGTACAATGTAACACCCACTTTTCATTATTTATGTTGAGTCCTATGTAATAGGGAGTGAGCCTATTGCTTTATACCGGGCACAATTCCAGAGTCCGTGCTACTACTGAGATTTTTTGAAAAATCACAGTAGGTAATACTTTGCCCAACCCGGGAATCGAACCCGAGACCCCTCGCCACCATTCGACCAACGAGGCAGTTATAAATTGAATGAAAGGAAAACAATTACCTACTTCCCCTTCAGGTGGTATTACACAATTTCACCCTAGTATACTATACTATAGTAGGTAGTAGGTAGGTACTACAGAGTAGGCTGCGCGACATCGCTGCGACCGCCCAGGCTACTAATGAGTAAGAGTCCATCTGTGACTCAAAACTAGTAGAGCTTTTATCAGTATATTTTAAGTGAGTAATTTTCAGTTAATCCAGTATGTCTAACGATAGTTATTATAAAAATATCTGATTCTTTACTTTATCAGTATCTCTATATTTTCCCACTTTGGACGACTTACAAAACGATCTTAATCTAGTAAACGATATTACCTGCTGCTCGATACGTATCGCGATATTTGGATTCCAATCGGCTGTTAATTATTAACATAAGTAAGCTCAATAATAGATTAAAATCTTCCAAAATTACTCTTGTTATAAAACTGCAAAGCTTTAGGTCGGAAGCTTAATAGAGATCTTTGTTGCTATTTCTAACCATAACTAGTATTTAATAAAGAAATCGTCAGAAATGATGCTTTTCTAGTTTTAAATATTAGAACCTACCTATAAATCTTATTTAGGTATTCACTTCACATATTAAGTCCCATTTAATCCGAAATTTACTAAAAATAAAAAAAAAATATTAAGTAAACAAAAACTAAAAAGCATTACAAGAAAACCAATAAATCGTAGGAACATGATAAAAAGTGACTCACTGTTTTGATTTTGATAATACATTGGCGCCGTGGTGACATGCGAGACGATGGTGTAGAAGAAAAATGAAAAACCCAACACAGTTCGCCACATTATGTCGATTTAAAAAATAAAAGTAACCACTATTTGATTGTCACAAAATATTCACAGCACTATTTTCAAATTAAATTTCGAATGGATTTCGCGCGTTCAAGCAGATGTCCAACTGTCTATGGTCTCTATGGCATCACAGATCAACGTGCACTGAATGAGACGTAGCCGGCTCGTAGAGAATAAATAGTAACCTACACATTGACGAAATATTGTCCAAAAGCATCACAAAAGACTTGATTAATTACTATTAAGTGCATCATACGGTCTAAATGTTGCAGTTTAGGGTAAATGGCACGGCTACTGGTCTCATAGCCTATTCAGAAGCTTAATAGTATTTTTAAATGGAGTAGATTTTAATCCCATCCTGAATAAATTTTATGGCTTCAATCATTGCGTTTTCAAAGACTACAAAAACTTCGTAACATAGACGGCCAACAGACTGCAGAAGATTAACCTACTTTCATAGATACTAACTACTTAACTACTACTAATATCTCAACATTTAGGCCTAAGTAACAAATAAAATCTGCTAACATAAAAATGTAATGAATGTAAAAAAAACGACCAATATTCCGATACCTTTTCATATCACATTGGTTTCTAGAAAATCGTTTCCCTATCCGTAGAGGCCCTACGCGGCGTCATTGAATCCGCGATAATGAAAAATACCTTTAGGGCACGGTGATTCACGACCTCGACCAAAATAGATCGGACAGACGTCCATACTAACGGGAAGCAGATACGAACTACAATAATTTACAGTTTTCACAACACCTGCTCAAAATTTACAATAAACGTCTAAAAAAAGCATAAAAATCTGATTAATTGGTACACTTATTAACCACAACGCTAAACATAGACAAGTTTAGTACCTAGCTGTTTTTAAGGAATTGTGTGGTATGGTGTGTAGGTACTCCAAATAAGATGAGTGCTTGTGAGTAAAATTCAAGGAATCAACACTTTTGGAGAAATTTCAAGTGGCGTGAATGGTTTGAAAGTAGCCAGTTACCTACGTGTTCCTGCTCTGAAATTGTCTGATAGTGAACAGGGAATTTTACATAATCGGTATGTAGGTCTTACTACATTCTCATGGTGAGAAATAAGAAGCTACAGTTTAATCACCTTTTACCTCTATGAAAAATTTTGTTTCGATTCTCCTACTTACCTACCTCTAAAAGACAAAAAAAACTAAAATATGGCACATAATCGAGTACCTATGCTATTTGACAATTTGAGGTACGCCTATGGCTGGATAACGCAAATAGAAAAATAGTTATTGCGATTTAACATTTAGTAAAAATATTGAAATTGACTAGCTGGACAGTATAGACCTAGGTAAACATACCTGGGACAAAAATCGACAAACCTAAAAACGGAGAATATAAAAAATCGAAAGCATTGAACCGAGACCCCATGTTTTGAAGCTTACACAGACTAATGCCCATGACTATACCTACTTATCGATCAGCAACCTATTAGCACAAGTACACAGGCAAACTAAAACACAAACAATATGTAATAATTACTCACACTCATCAAAGGAGCGGAAACATAAATAAACTTTAAAAGTACCTATAGAGTACATACTTCATAAAGAAGGTACTCATATAAAGATCGTTGGCGCCTCACATTATGATGAAGCTTGCCAATTTCAGACGCCCATCATTGCCACGTTTGTTACGAGTAAGTACCTGAAACGTAGACATTTTTCTAAAACATCCTTTATTTACTATTGTAAATGGGAAAGTGAGTTTGTTTGTTTGTTCTGCTTTCACGCCGTAACTTCTAAACCGATTGCTTTGAAATTTTGCAGACGTAAAGTTAAAAGTCCGGATTAAATAATAGGGTACTTTTTATCCCGGAAAATTTTGATATTCCCGAGGGAAAACCAAAGTATTGGTATAGATGACGCTGTGTGATGGTATATGTCACATAGGCTACTTTTTATTCTTTTGTGACGCAAAGCCGCGGGCAAAAGCTAGTAGCATATAATTAGAGAAATACAAGCTTCACAGACAGTGGTACTGGCTGTGTACAATTGTACATTGTACTGTATTGGCCACGGAATAGGAATTAGTTTTTTTTACTGTTCTGTGGTTTCCATAGTAATCGTGTTGGACGACACTTCTTTCGTTTATAGTCTGAGCCGAGAAGAACTTATCGGGTTACCGGGGCTCAAGTGTTTAGAGATTTTTCAAATAAGTCAATTAATAACAAAATATTTATTTAATTTCATATTTTCACTCTAAGTGAAGTTAAATATTTGTTAATTCTCAGTCGATTGTTGTAATCATTTACAATAGCTAGCAATCAACTAGTCCTATTGTAGATGCTAATAAAATTTAGTTGACTAGTTCTTTGTTAGCCTAGGACATTGTCCAGATGTCCACACAAGGCTTATCATCAAGCTAATATTTTCTTTTACAATATTTCCTTCCGTTACGCTCTACTTATGGTGTCCAGATTTAGGTGACCTATTTGCAAAAACCAATCACCAGACAACTAAATTGAACATAAAAAATAATTTTACCGACTGATGTCAGTTACTAATTGATTTACGAGTGCCATAGTGCTGTGAACTCAGTCGACACTCGAACTAATACTCATGTCAACGGCTGTTGTACGGTTGATGTGTTTTTGACATCTGGCGTCGGCGTCGCATGCGCCGAATCGGAACACAAATAATACCGGGTTATAAATCTCGGTCGTAACTATCGATGAAGCAATCGACTCGACGTTTGTATGCTCCGGTATCACTCCCAGGTGGAGGGATATGACAGATGTGTATCCTCATGGTCATATTTGGTAGGATGTGAAGGTACCTGCCTGCTTCTGACTGTGGAAACAATTGGCATATTAAGTATTCATAAATGTCGTAGCAGTTGAAGGAAAAATGTTACGGTCTATCCACAAAGGCAGTTAGAGCTGCTAACCAAATTTTTCTTCTATAGTTACAAAATTAGAAGATTTTGTTAGGCTAAACAACGTCAATGTTACGGCCCACGTGAATCTAGTAGGTATTTGATTAATAGAAACGTGGATTTACATACACTTTATCTAAATCAGAACTACATGAACAAATTATCTTGTAGCACGTGGATAGGATAGGTACCGTGATATCTAGTATGGAATGTTTTGCATTTCATAACAATTTATTACGTAGACACTAAAAATTATGTACAAAAATAACATATTAAAACGTTAAATCGTATATTATTTTATTAAGAACTAAGGAATTTCTTCATCTTCAATCAAATTCCTAATCCGCAAAGGCCAGTAACGCACTTGTAACGCCTCTATTGTTCCAGGTGTCCATCGGGGTCGCCGATTACTTACCACCAGGTGATCCGTCTGCTCGTTTACTGGCTTATCCCATAAAAAAATCTTCCTTTTTTCCTTCTCTCTTCTTCTTTTGACTTTTGGAAAGAATTCGTAGCAAGAAATTCAAATTAGGGCTCTAAGTTGACAGTAACTCAATTGACTGTTTTAATTCCCCATTGTAAACAATGCGATAAAACAAACGCATGTAATTTTGAGTGAGTTTAATTTTACGAGTCAAATGTGACGCCTCGCTAATAAATAAAGTAATGCGCGTGCGCTAGATTTTGGAACAACTAATTTTGTTACGTTCAATATAATTGGATTCAAGGACGACATCAAGTACCTAGATGATAACTTTGCCCCATAAGACAGCACTATTTCACTTTTCACGATACAGATTTTACGAAATGTATGCGTGAAAAGCGCACTTAGGTACACTAACCATAAAAAAGCAGGAAAATAATATTAAACCTTGAAATATCTGATGAGTACCTAACCTATAATGATTATGAGAAAATAATTTACACAACCGAACTAAAATAACGTTCTATAGATTTAATGTAGGTAAGGTACCTATAGGAAAACAACCAAACATTAGCAGTTTTAAACAGAGCTTTCATCATTGGCTTTCATAATGACAAGTCTATAAATATCAAAATCATGTTTGTACGTAGGAAATATCTCATATTTTTCAATGATTTTTCCTTCTTCGTCAGTAATATGAAGACATGACCTAGGTAAGAAATGTTATCAGTATTGTTTCTGGATCATCCCTGCTACTCTCGTTTTACCTTCACTGGGCAGAACTGAAACACTAAATTTTCCAGCTAGACAATCCAGCTCAACCATCGCAACATTTATATGTAGATGTAGGTACGGCTATCGTAGCATAATGACTCATACATATGGACCATAAATTAGAATGCCTTTTCAGACAGCACAATCTGTCACGACAGACTTTTGTGGAGTTTCTGTTATGCAATGTTACACTCCACAATGGTGCTATAAAACCCTCGTAAGAATTAAGATGGGTGTGCCGTATGCGGCGATCTAACTCATAGATATGCATTTAAAATAGTTTTTTATTCGAATATGTGTCAAGGGCATAGTTATTGTAGAGTCGTAAACTAGGCTTCATGGGAAAATTAATTCTATTAGTTTACATGCATTCGTTTGATGTAGGATTCAATCATTCATCAGGGGACTGAATATAATTTGATTCGTACAGCAGTTCGATGTTGACCGAGAAAGACATTGAACCCTGTCCAATAACATGTTCATATGATCAAATCATACAATAGTTTGTCTGGTTTATTATCTAGATAGATAGACCTAGATTTATCCAGAGCTATACCTATGTCCATATCTAAACGAAGGTATATACCTTCATTTTAATAAGTTCAACGAACTCATGGTTAAATTTTTCGTAATTTATAATATGGATACCTAAACTATTAACTACCTATATATTAAGTAAGTATATGTAGTTGCCAAATATTATTCTAATCAAAAATAAATAATCAGATTGAACAATTGATAATGCGTTAAAGAAATCTCTATTTCGAAACTGCAATGATAAGGATTTCAGGTTAAATTATATCTTGACAAACAATTCACAAATCGGGGCATTATAATAACAACGTAAAGCTGTTCGAAGTGGTATCAACTATAATTAATTACCTAATATATATAGTTTTATTTGGAAGAAAATATTCTTTCAGTCTCTATTTTTTTTAGATAAAATTTTAATTTCAATATGAAAATTCTAATCACAATTTCTACTTTAGTGCTTATTGTATTTGGGAACATCAGTTGCCACAGTATCGGTACGTAAATTGTATTTATGAACATATGTTTACATGATATCGTCGACGAGTTGAGGTTGCTGGTTAAAAATACATCATTGGTGTTCAGTTATTTGTTGAACTTTATGTACCTTCACAGTCGTTGAAACCTCGATAAGTCGATACCCTACGTTTCGATTAGAATTCCGTAAAATGACAGTGAATATTTAGTGAACCTTCGTTACTAGCCGAGAATGGGTAACCGGGGCTTCGGCTCGACGTGCAGGAGAAGGAACGGGGTGGTTTTTAGTGGAGCAGTCATTCGATGATTTTCCCCCCTTAAAAAAAGCCACTCTGCTATGTCCTTCTAGCATTGTATTATTTATATTAACTATTATGTTTTGAACCTATACACGTAACTGTTTGACGAGGAACTCGACTAGTTTCAAGCCATGCTAGAGGCTCATATTCATGAGCAGCATTTCGCGACACGCGACGCGGCGACTGTCGCGGAATGCTGCTCATAAATACATATACTAGTCGAGTTCTTCGTCAAACAGTTAGGTGAGTAAGCCGAAACCATAATAATTAATTTAGTTTGTCTCGTTAAAGTTTTAATATTATATTATGATCAAATATCGTGGTATTGTGAACTTACGTAGGTATTATTTTAGATGCATGGATTGTGGAACTGCCAGAGCGTATTAGGAACCTGATCAGATATGGAGATGTTGACAATGGAATACCAGTTTTGGATCCTTACGAGTTTAAGAAGAAGCAACTGCACTTAACCTCTGAGACGCTAACGTAAGAATATGTCCAACAGTGTCCGGTGCTAAATTCACTTAAATCATTATAAAATGTGCTATACACAGTACTATTATTATATTTGTAACACCACCATAATTAACTAAATTATATCATCCCTGGTTATATACTTTCAAGTCCAACTCGACAGATTGGAAGTGAACTGCTTCTAATTACTCTCTGCGACCTATTTCAGAAAAATAATGAAATGGGATTCGGTTAGATACTGTATAATTTGGTATCTAACTTGAGCTGGGATCGGTACAATTTCTAGGCAAACATTAAGATTTATATTGCAGCCCAGTATAATAAATACATTTAGGCATAAATGAAATTCCTATGTAGACTTCAAAACACGTACCTACCTACTACGTTCGTGAGATTAATGAACAGCACGGCTCATAATAACATTTTAACGACCATTAATTTATTTTAGATCATCACTTTTCAGCGCCAACATAAATACAACGAATGGAAAATTCACTGGTTTAGGAGACTTCAAATTGCAAGAATTTAACTTTACTAAAAGCGAAATCGCCATGGAAGTTAACATTAACATTCCTTTACTGAAATTTTATTCAGGTAAGTCTGCGAATATTTTTTATCATAAGTAAGTAAGTAAATGCAGATATCAATCACAATTGGCAAGAAGTTTCTGTGATTGATGATCACTTCAGTATTACTGGAAATGATTCCAATTAGCAATAAAGAACAAAATTGATCGTAAAATTACAATAAATTCTTCCTAGAGATAATCTAAAATCCCTCATAACTTCTATTTTCGTTCTGTGCTATCAGACGTAGATACTTGATACATATAACGTTATCACAAAGTGCATTTTCTTGCTTCTCACTGGCCTGGCCATGTTTTTTTTTTATTACATTTGACCCTTACCTATTTTATTTATATACTATTACCCTAAACCTATCGGTTGTCGCGGAGAACCTAACGGGTAACCGAGGCTCCGGCTCGACGTGCAGGAGAAGGAACGGGGTGGTTTTTAGTCAGTAAGAGTCTGACACTCCCTCCCGCCTCACCCAGGCGGGAGCAGAAATTCGATGATTTTCCCCCCTTAAAAAAAAAAAAAAACCTATCGGTTTTAAATGATAGGGATTAATAAGTATTTTTTTACAGAATATTACGAATTAGATGGTAATATTTATGAAGCCATACCTGTAAGAGGGCAAGGAATAGCCGAGTAAGTATTCACAGTAAAATTTACTTTTGCTCAACTGTAACTATCAACGAAGGGTGTTATGCCTTTCATTCTTGCTATATTTTGTTTACTTGTAAAGTTATCCAATTACTAACATAAGTGACAATTTATATATGACTACATTTTTTTTTTTAATACGTTGCCCCACACTGGTATTTTCTCCTGTGTCGTGGGTGCGTTTACAAACATACAAGTTCACATAAACATGATACCCAGACCCGAAACAACAAATCGTGGATCACAAGTGAAACAAGTGAAACAAGTGAATTTATTTCTGCAAATAGGCTACAAAGCAGCACTTTTACACGTCAATTTTATCAAGCGAACGATGAGGTCGACATTTCCTAACTGACTACTCTGAGAAGAAATGCCGAAACAAACTCAGAGGTCTGTCTCTTTTAAAGTCCAGACAATATGTATAAAAGATTATGTGTGAGAACCGTGCAAGTTCTTTCTGTAGTGGCCTTTTGAGGAAAGAACCACAACAGTTTGAGCGGACCCGTTCTGAAGGCAGTACGCATGTGTCGGTTTACAGTCGGCTCAATTAACAGGTGAGGCTGACTGATTCGACGAACAATACCAACCTAAAGAACATTTGCGTGGGTCGCACAAATACTCAAACTGTCAGAATATGGGTAATTAGAAAAGAAATGGTGAGGCAAAGTCTCGCACGGTCCTAGCACTAACAATTGTAAAGGAAAAAGCAAATGTCAAGTTAGAACAATGTATGAAAAACAATGTCAAGAAATGTAACTATATGTTACAAACATGTCAACATGACCCGTGTGGACGTTACAGCAGCCTATTCCCAAGCCAGACTATCATCTAGGTAGTCTTTAATTTTATAAAAAGCTTTACTATAAAATTTATCTTTAATGGCATTTTTAAATTTATTTAGACTCAGATTTTGGATATGGCTGGGAATTTTATTGTAAAAGCGTATACTCTGACATCTAAACGAACCACTTATTTTCTTTAGTCTAGTAGTGGGAACAACATATTTGTCTTTATTTCTCGTGTTGATATTATGTATATCACTATGCTTTTTAAATAAATTTTTGTTTTTATGAGCATATACTACATTTTCATAAATGTATTGAGAGGCAACGGTCATTATATTAATTTCTTTAAATAGTTCCCTGAGAGAGTACCTCGGACTAAGATTATAAATTGATCGAATGGCCCTCTTCTGCAGAACAAAGATAGATTGAATGTCAGCAGCATTCCCCCATAGGAGAATACCATATGACATGACACTATGAAAATAACTAAAGTATACTAATCGCGCTGTATCTACATCGGTTAACTTTCTAATTTTTTTAACGGCATATGCTGCAGAACTGAGCCTTTTCGATAACTTATCTATATGTGGAGCCCACTGGAGCTTAGCGTCTAGGGTTATACCTAAAAAGACAGCAGAATCTACAGGGCTCAACTCCTCACCCTTAATGAGCACGCTGGTTTTAACATGTCCAACATTTGGTGTTGTAAATTTAATGCATTTAGTTTTAGTTCCATTTAGTAATAGGTTGTTGGCACTAAACCAGCGTACTATTTCCGAGAGAGCATTGTTCACATTATCAATGACTAATTGTCTACGTTTAAGTTTAAATAATAACGAAGTATCATCCGCAAACAGTACTATCCCGTGGTTATCCCGTACGAGGTAAGGTAAGTCATTTATATATATAAGAAACAAAAAAGGGCCGAGAATTGACCCCTGCGGAACCCCCATCCTGACAACAGACCCGGCGGAGACTTTTCCGTTTATCTCGACTCTCTGAATCCTGTTACTCAAGTATGAGGTAAGAAGATCCAGAGATTTACCTCTTATTCCATAATGGGATAGCTTCCTGATCAATGTATCATGAAGGACACAATCGAACGCCTTGGATAAGTCACAAAAAATGCCCAAAGCATCGCTTGAGTCCTCCCAAGCGTCATATACGTGATTAAGAAGTTCAACACCGGCATCAGTTGTTGAACGACCCCTGGTAAAACCAAACTGGTTAGCATGTAACAATTTATTTCTATTAAAAAATCTTTGCATTTGATTAAGAATAATTTTTTCAAAAATTTTACTAAATGAAGGTAGTATTGAAATAGGTCTAAAGTTAGTGGGGTCAGAAGTACTACCTGATTTAAATAACGGTGTTACTTTACTATTTTTCATAAGATCAGGAAACACACCACGGTCGATACAATTATTAAAAATTAGAGCTAATAGAGGTGCTATAATAGCTATAACCGAGCTGACAATGTACACAGAATTACCCCACAAATCTGCAGTCTTTTTCTTATTTAAGGTATGGAAGGTTTTGACAATATCTGTGTAATCTATGTGTTCAAAAGAGAACCCTTTGCTGCAAGCTATAACATTTTCTTTTAGTAAAGATTCTGCAACAGTGGGAGATGAATTCAACGACTTAGTCGTGGATATAGGAATGTCCGAAAAGAAACTTTCAAATGCAGCTGCAACTTCTGCGTCTGATTTTATTACATTATTATCAATTAGAAGACTATATTCATTACTTCTCTTTTTGGACCTTCCCGTCTCACTGTTAATAATACTCCAGGTCGCTCTGATGACATTGGTACTGTTCTTTATTTTGGAGCTCAAGTACCGCGACTTTGCAATAGCGCAGACCTTTTTAAACAATTTAGAATATGTCCTAACATATACATTAAATTCGATTGTGTTAATAAATGTCCTCTCACTATATAGTTCATAGAGACGTTTCCTACTTTTATAGATGCCAGTGGTTGCCCATTCATTGAAAGATACATTGCTATTAACTGGTATAGTTTTAGGTGTAAAGGTAGATTTAAACTCGGTATGGTACATATTAAAAAAATCATCATACAAATTATTAGGATTTTTATTCATCAACAAAGGTAATTTTTCAGTGACTTTAGATTTGAAGATTTCAATGCGTCTTTCAGTCTTTGGGTTAACAGTGATAAATGGTTTAGACATTGTATTTACATGATTTGTTATTGAAATTAACTGTCCGCAATGATCTGAATCAAGCTATTGCTAGTTGCTATGTGCGGGAATTGGGTAGTTTCCAGGGTAAGAAAATTAAAAATCTAATTAGTCCATCAGTTAGAAAATGAAAAAATACTAGACATGTAGTTTTTTTCCCGTATAAAGTTACAATACTTAGATAAAATAGAGTTAAGTTTAGGAGTGGGAGGTCGTTACGTCACAACGTGCTACATTTTGTTGCATGTTGTGACGTCACTCGATATTTTAAATCAATATATCGTCGAAAGCATTTAATTTTGTTAGAAAAGAAAAAATACGTGTCTAATGTTTTAAAATAATCTAACAGTAGGACATTAAAAAAAAATTTAGGAAACTAGCCTATTGAACACGCTGCACGTTGCGCGCCAGCCGCTTGCCCAGCCACCACGCTAACCGAAAATTAAGCTCCAATAATAGAATTGAAGATAAGGTAAAAGATTTCATTATTATAACTTTCGTTTTGCAGTATCGAAATACATAACATATCGCTGAAAGGGAAAATATATTTGAAACAGTCTTCAGATGGTAAATCCATCTTGCTGGATAAGATTGTGGACCCTCAGTTCTCTATAGAACGTATTGTGGTGAGTAATTTTAAGCACTTTCAAGTAATTTCTAGGCATCAGCCCTCCTATGTGACACCCTAGATTTTAAATTCTTAGTTAATCTGTAAGCCATGATTGCGTCTGGCAAGTTATTATATAGTGATACTTAGATTATGACTGGCAAACCACTTTAATTTAAAGAAGCCCTGTAGCCTATAGTTATGGGCTGGTTCGAGTTGTTGACGATAGATAGAAATGATGAATAGGCTCTAGGGACTCCAGTCTAACAAAAAATCTACTTTAATTTAAAATTCATTTTTGCAGTCTCGAACGCAGTTCGACAATAACATAGATGACGTCATCAACGCCATGGTGGAAGATCTCTTGGCCGACTACTTGACGCGTTTTAATAAATTCATAGCCTACCAGTACGTCGACAGCATCGTGGAACACCTGAACCCTACCTTGAACAAGTTCGATACCTGGAATGTTATCACCATCTTGCTAAACGATTAAATACATTGATAACGACATCATTTGTGTAATCATTTGTGTACTATGTATTAAGTTCGGTTGGTCATGTATTATTTATCCTTATGTAAATAACTAGTTTCTGACGGCGGCTCCATTTGCTGGTACCCTGATAAATCATCCATCTATTCCCGACTAAAGAGTGTTGCGTGTGGGAATTGTACTTCACTACACCACGGACACAATATTATAATCTAACAATCGGGTGTCTGATCACTGCACCAATCATAGATTCAATCTAAATGTATTGTCCGGTACCTAATATCCAAGCGACATTTCTGGTTAGTTACCCATGTTAGCCTTTGGTATATGCCATTACAGGCGTTGCACAGTAGTGGCGCCAGAGCTGCTCTATGAAAAGGACCCGGTGTTCCTGGTAGATGACTTCCTATCCAATTGAATGTTTCCCTCATCATCCCCCTTGAAGTCAAACAGCCCATGTGCCATTAAAATGATATACAAATGATATTTAATTAGTATTATATTTATTTAGTACCTATACATATATTGTCCTCTCGCGTCCGGGCCTAGTGCGGGCCATGATGCGGAGCAAGGGGGATTGGGATGCCGTCTCCTCCTTTTGCGAAGCAGTCATGCTAGCTAAGGAGGAGGCGGGACGCGTGAGGCAGCGAAGCGCTGCCTCCTCGCAACCCAGCCATCGCGAAGGACACACCGGGCGTCGGGGATCGCGGGACGATCTCCGGCCACCGTAAGCGCGGGCCTGCGGACGGCGAGCATGGGTGGCTCCCCGTCCGACCAGAAACAGACCCGAGCGTACGGCGCGTCGCGCCTCAAAGAGCCATCAGACCACCACAGATGGGGCCCAATAGGGCCGATGCCGATTCGGAGTCGCGGAGAACCTAACGGGTAATCGGGGCTCCGGCTCGACGTGCAGGAGAAGGAACGGGGTGGTTTTTAGTCAGTAAGAGTCTGACACTCCCTCCCGCCTCACCCAGGCGGGAGAAGTCATTCGATGATCTTCCCCCCTTAAAAAAAAAATACATATATTGTGTATCTATATATCAATTTATGTTCACAACAATATTAAACTTTTACACCTACTAATGTTGTCTCTCTGCACGTCTAAGGTTGACTGTTAGAGAATGCCACTAGGCATTAAGTCCCCCATTGTATACCCATTGTGCAAGAAGTGTAAATAAATAAATAAAAGAAAATGAAATAATTTCCTGAAAATACTATAAATTAATGATATTGTTATTAATACACATCTATGTAAATCAGGAGAGATATAAAGCTAAATCAAAGTCGTTACTGTGATAACACTATCTACGAATTACCTTCTCAACCGATTAGGAGTCTCTGTTTAGGTGCTTAAAATTATTAAAAAAAAAACAATTAAAGGTGGACGAGCTACTAGGGACGTAAATAACGATTGTGAACAAGATAAATATTATAATACGATACTAATTAGTGTTTATCACGTAATTTAGTAGTTGATATAAATGATTGATGAAGGAAATCAGTGTAGATCAGTGCTTAGATTGTGTTTCCCTTGCGGAGTACCTCTGAGGGGACTACAGTAGGTGTTTGACTGTCAAGAAAACTAGAAGGTAAGCTTGTATAGTTAGTGGTTATTAATTATTAACTAATAATATTTTGGTAGTTATTATGTTTGTTAGACTCAAGTTACTTAACTTTCAATTCTACTTCTATATTTACTAAGGCTACTGCTACATTTACTACAATAGCTACCTATATTTAATAAATATTAAATTTTATACTTAATTCAGTCATCTAAAATTATAAACAACGAAAATGGCGATTTCATAAGATAGCCCGTGTCCTCAATACTAATGAATTCAACTGAATAGGCAAGTGCTAGTGTTAATAGTTAGGTACTTGTCGCGGAGAACCTAACGGGTTACCAGGGCTCCTGCTCGAAGTGCAGGAGAAGGAACGGGGTGGTTTTTAGTCAGTAAGAGTCCGCCTCACCCAGGCGGGAGCAGACATTCGATGACTATCCGCCCTCAAAAAAATATAAAAAAGTGTTAATACTTATGTATTATCTATTTATGATTTAAAGTACCTACCCCCAATTTTTGTTTAAGTAGAGGCAGAGCTAAGTCTTCTGAGTCCTTGTCCCCACATACCACTGTTCCTGAAGCAGCAATCAATCCTTTGATTATATAGTTTGTAGATATTTACGAAAACTAAATTACTTACTAAATACGTCCAAGCAAAAGGACAATGAACTAATCATCAGCCTAAATAGTAACTGCCAATATTAACAACGAGACTATTTGAATTTCGAATTCTCACACCGGAATTTTAAAAAAGAGGTTTTGCATAGGTAACATATTTATAATTTCGGCCATGATACGATCTCGATTACAACTACGTACGTAATTACACAAAATGTTAATGCACATCATTATTTACGCTATCTCGTATGTACATAAAATATGATGTCTCTCATTTTCAGAATGAAACTCGTACTGGTGTTGATGCTGTGTGCCTTGGCGGCTGCAGCTCCTAAATCTAATAAACCAGTGCCAGCGGCTCAAGTCGGTAAGTACTTGGATATCTTTAACCGACCAGCAAAAAAGGAAGGTTTCCTATTCACCGAATATATGTTTTTTAACATTTCACACAAAAACAGCTATTTCAAGAACATAGGAGGGCCCAGGGAGGCGTTTTCATTAGCAACTTTCATTTAGCTCGTTAGTCAGGCTTTGAAGCGCCGACTTAGAATTCTGATTATAGATACCTATTTAATAAGTAAAAAAAAGATACATAGGTACTGATACATTTTCTCGACTCGACTTTATTTTATTAATTTAGCTCACCAACAATAGATTAGTTACACTTTTATTTACTGGTTGACGATTTCTGCCATTCCTTAATTTGTATTTTTCTGTTGCAGCTGACACGCTCGAAAGTCGGAATTTACTTGTGAATGCCTTGGTCCGTCAGCTGATCGCATACGTTCGATTCGTCGTTAACCATGGTTCTTCAATCTTCAACATCCCTCCTTTGGACCCTCTAAATTTGGAGGACTACCATCTCAACGTTCCTGCTGGACTTGTCAAGTAAGTTTCTATATATCCTGAAATCACCTGATCTAATCAAGTTTTGTATTCTTCAGCCGTTAATCGAACAAATTATCAAATTATCAAAGCCGTTACCGTATTGCGGTTAACTACCCTACGTGCTTATTGTTTATCGATGATATTATTATTATAAATGCACATACATACACTAGTACAATTAAAATATGTTTCCGGAATAAATATAATATCTACATAAAACACCGTACCAGTACCATCTTAACCATAAGGGCGTCGCGGAGAACCTAACGGGTTACCGGGGCTCCGGCTCGACGTGCAGGAGAAGGAACGGGGTGGTTTTTACTCAGTAAGAGTCTGACACTCCCTCCCGCCTCACCCAGGCGGGAGCAGTCATTCGATGATTTTCCCCCCTTAAAAAAAGGGCACCCGGGGCCCATGCCCAGGGGGCCCCGAACGACCGACAATTTCTATGACGGACACACACACCGCTACACGTTACTCGGCTACAGGCTACCGCACAACGTGTAGCGGGTTCGGTTCCCGCACGAAGCAAACCTGTGATCCACAAATTATTGTTTCGGAATTCGGATCTGGGTGTACCTATATGTAATTGTGAACTTGTATGTTTGTAAACGCTCCCACGATACAGGAAAAAATCCCAGTGTACGGCAACGTTTTTTAAAAACAAACAAAATCGTTTCCGGTATATTTTTTTTTATTTACACTTCTGTATATTACAAACTGACTAAATGCTTGACTTAATTTAATAAGCACATAGAACTCAGTACAGTACCAAATTATAATAGTTTGTAAATATAAATTAAATACTTTTGTTGTGGCTACGCTAAAAACTTGTGGATGAACCAATCGACTGACTATTACTAATAGGCAGTAGGAGTAGCATTAAATACCTACTCACAGCTCACACTTCTGTTGCAAAAATATATAAACAAACAAACATCTGACTTTATCTTTTCTCTTTCACAGCTTGGACTTGAAGCTTTCCAATATATTGGCGACTGGTCTGGGTAAATTCGTGGTGCACAAGAGTAACCTGGACTTGTCTACGCTAACCTTCGACCTTGACATCTCCGTGCCAGTCCTTGACGCAACTGCTGGTACGTACATAATACTTTTCAATGTATGATTTTTTGACTTTTTCATATATCTTTATTAATTTAGAGTCGTTTGATCACATAATGCCAGACCCATCATTCCCTAAACAGATTTAACAGAACTTACATTAGCTTAAATTCTACTCTTATTTAGGTACTATTTTATATAAAAAGATAGCTGCTTTGGATAAGGGTTGTGACAATATTTTTTGACTTATTATTCCTAATTCCCTACTTACGTGGTCCTATATATTCCAGCTGTGTACTTTTCTCAACTGGTATACAAATGGTATAACAAGACTACTTTTGTACAGTCTGAGAGAAAGATCAATTCTACAGTATTGATTGTTTGCCCCTATTTCCTCGGTATATGACACCAATGAATAATGGGTGTATACCTACCTATCTGCAGAGGCACCTAATTATCTTACCTAACTTAAAAAACTTAAATTATTTTACCTTACGTGATGTGAATTATCTTTTTTTTCATTACAGAGGAGTACGACCTTCTTGGTGATCTCTTCACAGCCATCCCTCTGTACGGAAAAGGAAAAGCTCTGTAAGTTTAAGAATTTCAGTACCTAAGCATTTATATGAATATTTTTTAAAGTACCTAAACGCAACAGACCCTAGCCGGCTCGACGTGCAGGAGAAGGAACGGGGTGGTTTTTAGTCAGTAAGAGTCTGACACTCCCTCCCGCCTCACCCAGGCGGGGGCAGTCATTCGATGATGTCCAAGTCCCCCCTTAAATGGTAACCGGGGCTCCAGCTCGACGTGCAGGAGAAGGAACGGGGTGGTTTTTAGTCAGTAAGAGTCTGACACTCCCTCCCGCCTCACCCAGGCGGGAGCAGTCATTCGATGATGTCCAAGTCCCCCCTTAAAAAAAAAGGCAACAGAGCTCTAATAAATCTGAACATAGATTATGACAAACCCCTCTTGTAAATATATAGACTTTCTTCTAGTCTATAAGGTAGACCTGATTTACGTATTAACCAGAATTTTCGATAAATCATTGTGCCATATCTAATTACATCTCACTATACTTGCAGATTCCAAGTGGAAAACTTCAGGTTCCAAGCTAAACTGTACCTGAGGCAGTCCGACGACGAGAAGTCTGTGCTCATCGACAGAATCGAGAACGTTTCCTTCCAAGTGCCCAGCTTCAAGGTAAATAATATACCAACCATTTATTATAGAGAGCACTATTTAATTTATCCAATCCCATACAACCACCGTCACCATATACGGTTATTTGTGTAATCAGTGAATGAGCCAGGTATTGCTGCGTAATAATAATACACCCAGTGCGTAATCCCCTCTACAGTAGGGGGTTTGCCAAAATCCCTACGCTTGATAAGCCCTCTTAAGTAGTGGGGAATTATAGTCCAGTGTCATCTGGCTACTAATGATAACGATGGAATATTATTATCATGCTAGTTAAACATTTAAACTTATAATTAACTGAGGCTGAATGCATCACGCGAGTGATTTCATTTTATTTTTAAATTTCTCTAATAATGCTCTACATGGAGCATAATATTTAAATGCAGATCATTTCATATAAATAGCTATCTACTATTTATTTTATTTACTTGCCTATTTATCAAAGCGAATTTCACATTCCAGTCGGAATTGACCGGAGTCATCGGCGGCGGTGACATCGACGGTATCGTCAACTCTGTCATCGAAGAAGTCGTTGTAGACTACGTTAACAGGTTCCAAGGAGCTATCGGCAAGACTGCCGCGTCCCTTGCCATCTCAGGGCTGAACCCTCTGCTGGAACAGCTCGACACTTGGCGTTACATCGCAGTCCTGATACCCAGACGCCAATAAACTGACCAGTATTTTTAAATACACCTGTACCTGCTTATGATGAAGATGTTGCATTCGCAAGTTCCTATGAGACGATAAAAGATGAACGAATCGCTTGGTTTTTAGATCGAGGAATTCTAATTCATTATGATATTACACAATTAAAATTTATGTTTATTTATTTTGTTGTTTTTTTTATGGCATACATAAGCCGGTAAACGAGCAGACAGATCACCTGATGGAAAGCAATCGGCGTCGCCTATGGACACCTGGAACACTAGAGGCGTTACAAGTGCGTTACCGGCTTTTCGGGGATTAGGAGTTTGAAGATCGTTGGGGATTCAGGGATTGGGAAGGTAATTGGGCCTCCGGTAACCTCACTCACACGACGAAACACAACGCAAGCGTTGCTTCACGTCGGATTTTTGTGAGGCCGTGGTATCCGCCGAAGCATGGCTCTCCCACACTATGTTTTTCTACATACTTAATATTTTTGGTTGCTTTTTTTATTTACCTGCAAATTGTAGATAAGTAAGTAGTTATGATTAGACAAATCTAATTAAGTATTAAATAGATTGATTGCTACGTAAAATATGATTTCGTCAATAAAATTAAGTGATAAAATAGAAGATTAGCATCTTATCTATTTATTTTCAATGTCACTACGTATATTAGTTAGGTACATATGTATACTTACTTAGTATTAGTAGGTAAGTACTCACCATTTGTCCATTTGTAGCAGGGAAATATTTAGAGGTAGCAGAAAAACAAAGGGATTTACCGTAATAAATGAAACGATAGACTTTTATGGAATGTTTTTAATTAATCTTAGTAAAGCAGATAGGCAAATAGACTGAGGTAAGACATTAGATTACAAAAAAATCGTACCCGTTATACTGAATCTTCTACATGGCTTCTTGCATTCTCTTGCACTAATTATCATAATCCTCGTACCAAACTTCTCGGCAGACGCCGTTCACGTCCATTTGAAATCCATCGGGACAATTGCCCCACACTGGGGAATCATCGGAGAAGGAGAACAAGGAGTTACTTTTCTTCAAGGGCCGCGGTAGTGCCCCTTTTACTGGTCCCGCGACGTTAGGCCGCGACAGCACCGTGCACACGAACAACAATAGAATCAGGAATAGCTTTTGGTACATTGTGGACTTTTGTCACAGACGACTGTTCAGACACAAGCGAAGAGACTGAGGATTTGGCAATTTATCGCGTTTAGATTATGAACTTCCTTCACCCACGCTACCGGCTGCTGTTTGTGATGAAACAAAACTGTTATTATCTGACGCAAACATGTTAATACAATAATATATTCAATTTTCGTAGAAGTTTGATGACTCCACTTTGTTCTTTGTACACATTTAGCTTCTGCATAAAACGTCAACTCACTCTCCTTATTTTAATGATTCATTATGAAACATTTATTTTGTCCGCCATTCATTTTATATGTCTTTTGCAAAATTCTTGATAATCTATAAGATTGAAACCTAGATACCTAGGTACATAGGTAGGTAGAGACCTAGTTTACCTACCTAATATTTTAATTTATTAAATTAATAAGTACTTACTTAGAACACTTTAACAGAAACAAATACAACAATATGTGATTTCACCTAATATTCACTTTACTCTATAAAGAGTAAAGTTACATTCATCCATAAAGAGTATAATAATTAATAGGGGGAGTAGTTTTTTTTTTAAGGGGTGAAAATAATCGAATGTCTGCTCCCGCCTGGGTGAGGCGGGAGGGAGTGTCAGACTCTTGCTGACTAAAAACCCCGTTCCTTCTCCTACACGTCGAGCCGGAGCCCCGATTACCCGTTAGGTTCTCCGCGACTCCGAATCGGCATCGGCCCTGTTGGGCCCCATCTGTGGTGGTCTGATGGCTCTTTGAGGCGCGCGCGGAACGCGACGCGCCGTACGCTCGGGTACCGTCTTTACCATAAGGGCACTCAGGACCCATGCCCAGGGGGCCCGCAAGGATTGACAATTTTTACGACGACCGGCGGGCGGGCAAATCTTTATAGCGGGTTCGAACCCGTTAGAAAGATTTGCTCCGTGTGGGATTGCATCCCGCTCTTCCCACACTTTGTGTGAACTACAAATTTTTGATTTGGGTCTGCGTGTCATGTGTAAGTGAACTTGTATGTTTATAAATACATACACCTACGATATATGATCCAATCCAATCCAGTATGGGACAACGTTAAAAAAAAGAAACATTCCACAAGGGCCCCGAATTATTGTGTGCCCAAAGGCTCCGGCGTAGTCTAAGACGGCCCTGATCTTATTAATATAATATTATAAATGAAAATGTTTGGTAGTTTGTGTATTTATGTTTGTTACTAGCTTTTACCCGCGGCTTCGCTCGCGTCACAAAAGGATAAAAAGTAGCCTATGTGACATATACCAATATACACAGCGCCATCTATACCAATACTTTTGTTTTCCCTCGGGAATATCACATTTTCCGGGATAAAAAGTACCCTATTATTTAACCCGGACTTTTTTACGTCTGTAAAAATTCAAAGCAATCGGTTCAGTAGTTACGGCGTGAAAGTGGAACAAACAAACAAACAAACTCACTTTCCACATTTTAATTCACATCAAAACGGCTGAAAATTTCGGGTAGAAATTTGGAACAGAAATAGATTATCGTCTGGGATAACACAAAGACGGACGCACTTCAGGGAAATCCCCGTACCTACAGAAAAATGATCGGTATAATTTTACGGTAGTTTCCAATAACTTGAACAAATTAAAGATTCAAACATGTGTCAGTGACTTAGGGAATTCCCCGTAAAGTCTCTATGTAATTGTCATTCGTTTATCGGACTTGTATGCAGGTCCGATAAAGACGTTTAATTAATGACGTAAAAATGAAATCGCGCCGATTCCGCAAAAAGTAATTTTCCTGCATTGATTATATTATGTATGATTACGGATCACCGGGAATGCCTCCCCTAATTAACTAGCATAAAAATATTAAAATTAGGTATTAAATATTAAAATTAGGTATAATTAATGTCATCCAATCAAATTAATGAGTGTAATTTTATTTTGACTGAGTAAATGAAGTAATAATTTGAGATTAGTTTCAAAAAGAGTGTTAGAAGGTTCCGATATCTGCTTAAAATAATGCCATAAATAAAAAATACAATTTTAATTTGTAAAAATGTATTAAAGTTTAAAAGTCCTAACTTTTTTATAAATAACTCTATGTTATAATTAAGTATCTAACTTTATAAACATGTTTCATGTTTGTTACAACAAGACTAATGGTAGTTATCACAATTAATATAGATATCCAAAACTTTTCAAAATTTTCAGTCCGATACCAAGTCACGGTACCATTATTTTACAAATTGTTTAACATAACAAAAGATAATTTTATCAAAGATAACTTCCCCTTATGTACTTAATCACGTATTACTTAAAATATCATAATATTTATGACACATCAAGAAGTTTTCATGTTTTAACAGTCTAAAAGTGTTGATGTTAAAAAAACAACATTAATCACTTTAACTCGTCGAGTACCGGTTTTGTAGACACAATTATAGAACAATAGGTTGCGGTCACCGGTGACCGCTTGGTGTTTGACAGTTTAAATAGAATTTTAACATTAAGACTTAGGTTACTATAATTTGGTATGTAACTGGTGACATTTAGCAGTGTGTTAGCTAGAATTACAAAAAAATGCAATAATAAAGAATTCATCCAATTATACCGAGTTATCAGTAAAGAACTCTAGTCTAGATATTACCAAAATTACTATAGCATAGCATACGAAAATGATGAGATAAGATTAACGATTTAGAGTTGGAGGTGGTTGTCGCTCCCGCGGCGGTGGAGGAGCGTGGCGCTCACGGGGAGGTGGAGGTGGTTGCCGCTCCCTTGGTTGAGGCGGAGGCAGAGCGTTAGCACGGCGAGGGATCGGCGGGGGTTGCCGAGTTCGCGGCTCAGGCGGCGGCTGCCGTTCACGGGGTTGAGGGGGCATGTGAGCAGTCGGATTCATTCTGAAGTCACAATTATTAGACAGGTTAAGTAAATTCTGTTACAAATAAACATTTAGATCTTGCATTAGGTTCATAAGGTTTTTGTGGGTACAAAGAAAATTTCATGTAATTGTAGTTTGTAAATATTTCTAACTGATTGTTTACTAATATTATAGGTTTGCAATTTAGATTTGAATTGTAAACCTAATTGAGCAACTTATCCTCCAATTATCTTAAACAACACAAAAGAAGTACTTACCTAGAAAGTTTTCAACGATGAATGTTACTGCAGTCAATTTAATCAAAAATAAACTTGAAAATTTTAGATTTCTTACTTATAATAATTTTAAACTATCATCGAACTTAAAAACATATTAATTGATTTGATTCATAACTTGTTTGGAATGGTAAGGGTATTTTTATAATTTTATTATTTTCTAGTAATTGTCAATAATGTCAATATTGTCAAAGTCAATTGTCTAAGAATTTAAAAAATGACAAAACAGGGTTGTCCATTTGTGCAACTGAGCTGGAATCATTAGTATCATTACTATTGCGAACAATCTGTCTCACTTGCTAGGGAAGTATGTACTTACTACCTACTAACATGTTTCTACCAATCCTACCTATGGTGATGGTGACCATTATGATTAATTCGTAGAAAAAATTATGGAGCCCGCCCGACCGGGCCCGGTGAGGCGGAGACCCGGCCGGCTAGGAGGCTTAAGGTCATCGCACACCTTATAAGCACTGCTCCGGCACGGCGTTTTTTACTTAGGAAACAATACATAAAGATTGTAAGCGCGCATTATTTAATTAACGTTATGAAATGTGTCATACGGTTTGAAGTTCATATTTACATATTTAAATTAATTTGGAGCCATGCCGGAGCTGTGTTACAGGTTGATGATGATAGTTAAAACCTTCGATCAACAATAACAACTAGATAAATGGTTACGTACAAAATCAAGCTCCAGTTCTGTCCGTGTGAATAATAATAGTAAAAAAATAACAAACAGAGAAAAATGTTTTAAAATAGTTTTATGTTCAACCTAATAACAACCATGGCACCTAATAATAAAGTCATAAATCGTCAAAATATTATCTAATACTTACGACCATTCGTCATATAAGACAAGAAAAGTATTTTCTTACTCCTGTCATGTAG